CTCAACCGGGAAAGCATTACATCGATTTCCCCATAAAATAATCCGGATCATCGTTTTTTCAAGTTGTAAACGTGTAGATTCGAGAAACGCACTTGCCTTTTGAAACCAGCCAAATAAAAGCGAAATTTCGACTGGTCAAGAATTTGAAGTCGAAGTCTTCTGGTCAACAGCCGATAAGGAATGCCTATGAAGCTCGATTCTCACCAAAATTTGCAAAAAATAGTCAAACTATTTTGTCGTTTTAGTAAAATGTTTACGGCGACAATCCAACTAAAAGCCGATTTATAAGAATTTTTTTTCGAAAGTGAACACACTTGGCTGAATAACCCTCTGTACATGCTACCCAGTGCGCGTGGCAGAGTTTAATGTACAGCGTTAACTGGCGGCATGGTATAACTAACCTTCATTCATGTTAATGAACTCAACTTCTTCGTCTTGCTGTCCGGTTCGGTGATTTCTTGATCTTTCGGTGAGGCGAGCTCGGTCTCCTATGTGAAATCCGTTGGTTACTTTTTCAATGCCACTGTGCGAATCGCGAATAATTTTTCGGGTTTGTCGAATCTGAAAATATCAGTTAATTTCTGTAAGAAACAGCAGTACAAATTACGCGGTGCTAGATCTGCAGTCACACACAAATTAACATATGACGTATATTGGATTCTTGAAAAATACACTCAATCGAGCGAGGAAATTGGACCATAAAGATTTCAGAACTATCATTCGGATCAAGAAACAAGCAAATTTTTCAAAAAACGTTTGAGAAGTACTGTTCATAGCGAAGTTTGTGGATGGAACATCCGCCGCCTTGCCTTTACAACATACGGCAATTCTGGAAGTCGCACACGCGTACGCAACAGGTCATAATCCAGCGTGGCACGATGACATAATTATATATGCACATAGCAGTTACTGTAACTAATTGTAAATGCAGTAGTGCAGAGTAAATAAGCCGATAATGTTTTCCATCGTAAGAAAGAAGACTTTTTATTGAAAGAAGATTCACTCTTTATCAGAATTAATTAAACATTCATTACTTACTAGAATACATCAGTCTGCAGACCTTTTGTAATTCAAAAATATGGAATTATTATCATTAAGAAAAGACAATTCTATTATTCTATGTACAGTACGCATCTGTACATAGTGTCACAATGAGCAAGATTATAGCAGGCTAATAAAGTAACACATTAATTCAACGCCGGTTGACAGTTTTCTCTTCCCGAACAATATAATTACCCCGCCAGGTGCTGAACATGTGCTGCTTGAAGCTTGATAGATTTTCGGTGGTCCGTTTCCATTATTTACGTATGTCATAACAGACGTCGCGCTGTATGTGTGCGCTAAGACATTTTGCTTTCGCACGCTGTTCCGCATTATGTTGTCCTGTTAAGCAGAAGCAACAATTACTAACATACGATGATACGTACTACAGTGCTTAACATGATGCAAATTAAGCCCAAAGTTTTGTTAATGTTGTCCGTAATTGGCATTGCGCTTACAATTTCATCAAACATAGCGTCCATTCGTTCAAATGTGGCCATGAAATCATCCTGGAAACCGACAGGAACAATATCTTTAACCTTAACCGACTGACTGCGCTGCAATCGTGAGAAGTGGTTATCCGACGCTCTGACACTAAGTGGAAAAGTTGCGATATCGAGATTTCCAGGAGTAGCAACTTGGCTGTGGTCCATCTATAAATTTAGAAAAGCATCAGCGTAATTTGTGACTTCACGTCCAAACCTTTGCCGTTAGTAATTGGTTAGAGCTTACAAGCAAGAATCAGACTTGGTGTACGACTACTGAAAGTTTGAAGTAAATGCTTATTAGAGATGAAAGCGCTACCGTCTTTAAATAAACAGTATGTCTATAATCCCGCGCTTGAATCCCACAATAAATATCAAACTGCAAATAAATTGAAAGCTATTTATATCTTCTGATGTAGGAATAGAAAGGTTTATGCTCATAATTTAAAAATATGTGCGTAATTTCAGATTTTTAATTACTGAAGGCATAAATGAAGGGAGGTAACAGTCTGTAGATAATAATAGACATTTGAAAGCCGGCGTTTCTGCAATCCCTCGTGTTTCATCACCACATCTCGTCTTCACACCGGCATTTTGATAATTTACATGTATTAAAAAGTGATACGTATATGGACTACTCTACGTATTATATAAAGCATACGACAAAAGACTAATTAATGTATATTTCACTCGTAAGCAGCTACTCTAATATTAAGCGGTAAATGCGCTTATGTGTGCGTGTTTAATGGCATAGAAATATTTTTGTCCATATTCCTTCGGGGCAAATCGGCAAGGGCAAATCGGCAGTACATCGCAAGTAAATGCGATTAATTGACAAATATAAGTCTCCCGGGCGCCAGGTTATTTATCTTTCTAAAAAAGTGCTTGCGGTCTACCTCAATCTACAGGTATACTGTACACAAACCCTTATAAAAATCACTTTTGCCGATGACTAGGGACATTTAGTAATTATGTTATCGCCTTATCAGCCTTTTATAACAATCTATTGACACATCATGCTGTTCGAATAATTCCCTCAAAAAGTTTGCCTGTAACATTCAGTAAGCACAGCATGCCGCATCACTAAAAAGCGAGAAAATGGTTGCGATAAGTTAACATAAGCGGACGATAAATCGTAGCGTAACTATATTTATTTTATTTTGTTCTTACAATAGTTTGTTTTGCGTACGTGCCGGTAATATAGCATAGAAGTATAGGTGGATTTATGTAGGTGTTTTTGCTTCAGTTAATGGTAAGTTTGCGAATAGGGAAGGCATATGTATGCCGATGATACAATACAATACATCTACCACATGCATGGCGATTTTTCAGTTTCAAATAATATATATTGTACTTATTACTTATCGTTAATACAGAGCCATTTATATCGTAAATCGTGAAACACTGAAATCAAAGACAAATTAGAGGAAACATCGTTGTAAATTTCCGTATGCGTACACAGTAACGGTAAATATGGGCTCTCGATCACGATAGTTAATTTGATTTTGTACAATTTTTTTACATCAAAGATCATATGCTTCAAATACTTATTATTACCTACCGACTGTTACCCCCTGCAATCTGCATTTATGCCTTCAGTAATTAAAAATCTGAAATTACGCACATATTTCTGAATTAAGAGCATCATCGTGATTAATGATAAGAAAATTATTGCGTAGCGGTTTATAGTTTATACTGCATTAACATAACTTAATGCAAATTTACCTGCAAAAATACGCAGCATTAATTTTAGCATTATTTTGTTTAATTTTAGGAATTTTAGGAAACACACTTACGTCTGTTACTTCTTGCAGTATCCGATAGGAAAGCTCTTTCACCAATCAGAAATACAGATATGGCTGGTCCGCTTACAGATTAAAGCAGAAGTATCCTAATGGAAATAGATTTTGCTTTCCATGATGAGTATTCCGTGCAGTGTGCTGCACTACTTTCAGCTCACATTAATTATCAAACCTGAATCAAATCACTGTTTATTATGCAAGGTATCTATGTATGATAGTGCGACGCTTGTAAATGCAGATTGCACAGTATAGCATCGCAGGCTAGCGGATCCGTGGTTGTTGTTTCTTATGGTGTGGAAAACGATCACCACCATTGGGATAATTATATTAAGGAGAAATATCACAGACTTGAACGATATCTGTAATAATTGTTAATATTTTCTGTGCAGCGTTCCTTTGTACAATGTATTCGCAGTAAATTTATTCCACTGTACCGTTTGTACCGGTACCGGTTATACGTGAACTTAAATGCCGTAAAAACTAACTGGTAAGACGTCATCAACTGCAGTACAACTATAGTGCTAATTTTACAGTGAGATCTGGCCCACTGTTTATACTGAATGAGGATCGAGGCTTTGGTATTGGCCACCAGTGTAAAGCGTTATTATTATGTACAATATATAAATGCGTGTTAGTATTAATACCACTGTCGGAAGAGTACGAGTACCATAAAAAAACGTCAGAAAGGCACAGTTAATGGTAAAAACATATAGATATATTTATAGATATAAAGCAGTTACTGTACAGTGCAGTACTTGCACGTAAAGGCGGGGTAGAGCCATATACGTACTACAATACATTTGACCACACATGTGTAGTGCCTGTGGACCGGTATGGACCCGGTATGGTTGGAACAAAATAATTAACGACCAACAAAATGAAGCAGTATAATAACTGAGATTAATAATTGAATCAAAATTTCTGCAACCCTAAATATCCATATATCCATCTCAGTTATAATATGATGACGATCCTTTTCATTGTGATAGACTGATAGAGATATGCTCGTTTAATTCAGAGATAATACATTTCGGGTTTTAATAACTTTTCTGAGCGAATTATTAAGCTTTGTGATGGGTAATTCTGCATTGCTCTATTCAGCTTGCGCCTTGCATAATATTTATATACAGGCGTAGTTTGTACAATTTTACTTATAATATAATTATTTGAGCAGCGTTTATCGTTTCCCTACTCGTACAGTTTATGGAGATCTAGAGACAATACCCTTGGTTTATATCTATTTCTACTTGTATACTCGTAGTCTCGTACCAAAATTTTAGACAATCATAATATCCCATTTTACATTGATTAATCGTATTACGGGTTCACAGTTTATTGACTGTATTTACCGCGGTATGGGATTACTATTACCGTCCCGATACCACTGCAGCGGCTACCGTCATCTTTAGCAGGCAATTTTCTTTGCATTACTGGACTACGTTAAACTAGTAACCATAAGCACTATTATTATAATCAGTAACTTTTAAATATCTATATTAGCAGAATTTCCTGCTGCTTTTACTTATTTACCATCGAATATTTACAGAACACTCGACCCCTTGAATTTGTGCCATTCATTATTTGTTTCTGTACGTCGATATAAACAATCATGCAAAATATTTTTATGCTCCAATCAAACATTGCAAAAATGTTGCAGCTACCCAAAGCCGATAAAAAAATACTGACATCCAATTTGCTTGAAGTTTGGTTTATTATTTTCTTCTCAAGGCAGTCCAGTTAACCTGTCATATAATCAAACAACCATAACTGTACGTATAAGATACACAATCAACCATTAAGAGAATAAAAAGCGTTCACGCTTGCCAACATTTTAAGAACCACAACAAACAAAAGACGGATACCGACTCGCACACATCGTTCAAAATTTCGCTAATTGCGCTTGAATCTTTTTGGTTATGCTTGGGAGAAGTTTGATGTGCGTTTCCGCACACGATGCCACACACGCATCGAAACCGGCGGACATTTTTGCAGAGGGCTTTTTAGTGTCTTCACCTCTGTCCCGCATTTGGTCGTGGCAGTCCATTACGCAGCGTTCAATCCGACTCTGAAAACATGAAACGAAGTTCAGAACTTCGGAAGCGGTCAGTCATACATTTGCAGTCCTTTAAATCCCCATTGTAGTTCCAGTTCGATTAATACGGGCGGTACTACCGTACTATTGACAGTTTTGATACTGCATCCCGCATGTCGAAAAAGGCCTCATTTTACAAATACAAATGCTGTCTTCGAGAAATGTACGAAATAAGGTTCTAAAAACGTTTCCACGACTGTACCAAATGAATGAAATACTGAAAACTGATCTCAAAGAAAATACAAAGGTTAAGCAAACAATATTCCAAACGCATGCAGCATGCTACACACAAAAAACGTTCCAGCCTAGTTAAAAAAAGCGAAGGCATCAACACATCTTTCTTCTAGAAGTTAGTAAGTTCTTCGACGATTGCACGGCCGTCGACTCAACATGAGTACCTGAAAGTTAGACAACTCAGCAGCCAAAATATCCTGGCTATTGGCAACGGGTTCCATGCACTTGCCAATGCAATTTTGTCGAACCTCCATCGAGCTGCGAGTATCATCGCAGCATGAAGCACAACATTTAAACGCCTGACCCTGCAAGCGACAAGATGTCGTTAACGTTAGTGTATCTTTCACGATGTTTATCCAAAACAAAGAACTTCCGTGTACAAGTTAAATAAACGATGGAAGAACGGAAAACCCCGAGGTTCGTGAAAGCAAGCAAAACTGCAAAAGCAGCACGAAGAAAAAGCACGAAACGATACCTGAACTTTTCGCAAGTGACTACTGTCCACTTCAGTCAACATCTTGTTCACTGCATCTTCCACTTTTCTCTGTGCTGCTTCCATGATGGACTGAAAGAATTTTCGTTTACGTTTAACTCAAAACTCACAATTTCTGAGAATACGTGCGCCGTGAAGGATGGCTTGCGAAAAGCGTACGGCTTGGTGGTGCACTGGTACTTAAGCCGAAACGTTTTGAAATCAATATGATATTCTAACTAACTTGTATCGAACTAAAGCGAACGATAACAAGATAAGTTTCGCAAATACAATAATTTAAGGAATGGCGAAATATAGAAGTATAGAAATATAGTAAATTTCAACAAAATTTAACTCAAAAGTCAAAAACCAAAATTTAATTTTTACAGTATTTTGACTATTTTCAATCAATTTTTCAAGCTTGTAAAATGTAACCGTACAACAACCCAATCGCAAACCGCAAGGCGGTCACCAGTTTAGGCGGCGTTCAAATATTACGTAACACAAATTTTCCGTTTTTTCACCACCCCTACCCCTTGTAACAACGCGTAACAAATTTTTGGCATCCCCACCCCCCATAAGTCGAAAAAATTTTCCTACAAATTTTAATAGAAAAATCACAGACAGTAGGGGAACGTTTGGGAAGAATACACTTTGCAACACTCGAGTGTTTTGTACGCTCCTGAAGAAATAAGATAAAATATTTCAGCTTTATCTTCAATGGTGCCCAAATGTAACGTAACATGCTGGCCACCCACCCCCTACCCATGTAACAAAGCCGTAACGCTTCGGCCAGACCACCCCCCATCCATTGCCGTTACGTAATATTTGAATGCCGCCTTACTCGGCGTCAGGGTTTTCGTGTACGTATGCGCTACTCGTAGTGGTAAGGGCACCCGAAAATTCAAGTCCCCAAAATTTTGCCTTGGCTCGTGGCCCTCAAGCTAAAGGTTTAGTACAGCGCTAAATCGGCCTAAATGATATGATTGATATCAAATTCATTTACTCGAAATTTTTTCAGATTTTATGACAAAATTTAGAATTGGAGTGGGTAATTAAATACTATACTGATCCTTTAGCAAAACCTCAGAAAGCGCTTGAACGGCTTGATGCTCTGAAGTCCGTGTTCTGAATAGCTTGACGTTGTTAATTTTGGACTTCTTTCCTGTGAGTGCCCCGTGACAATGAGCGTGGGTTTAGGACTGATTCCGGGCATAGAAAAAGAAGTAGAAGAGTTGGAAAAAATATGCAGCCCTCAAGGAATTCGTAGAGGTACCCCACTGGTAAGACGTATGCCTTTTTCACGCATGCCTGGATGTCTGACCGCACGGTGTTATATATTTAGAACCGTGATGATATGGTCGAAAAACTCACCACTGCCGAAGCACTCAATCAGGTCGCCACGGCACAAGAGGTGAGACGACGACTTAAATATTGCACGGAAGAGTCGGGAAGACAGAAGAAAAGATAGCACTTTTTCGTTCGTGATTATATTTTGATAGCTATACGCAGCGCCGCTCGCGTTCTAGGTGGTTATGACTGCATGGAAGGATGTGGAGGCAAATGTTCAAATGAAACGTAATAGGTACGCTGTTTATTAAAGGGAAGATTATTGCCGGTGATGGGTAGCTATACACTGAAACAGTGTACTTGTAAAGTGTACTAGTAACTTTATTTGCAAAGAGACGCAGTTTCATTGGTTTTAGTTGTATCTATCAAGTTCGCGTTTGTTTTCCAGACTCAGAACTTTAATCGTACACTGGCAGGCGATGCTGCGTACTATAGAAGAACTGAGGAAACAGGTAAAAACCTCAATGGAATTTCGTATGCGGATTTTTTCCGACCGGGGTCGTTAAAATTAAAAATATTTCCAGCAAAACGAGAAAACAGTGCGGTACGTGATAGGCCATCAGATGCAGTCAAGAGCTGCCGTTGTTCCGGATGGAAAAGTTGTTTTGGACATAGGAGTACGTACAAGTTTGGGATATTATTGTGCGTGATCAGTTTTCGGTGACGGTGATTTGTTTGGTTTTGCTCAGGCCAACGTTTATGTGGATTTTTCTTACAATGAAGCCGACGAGAGGTTGCAGAAAGCTCTTTCTCTTGGTAAAACATGTTCCGATCGCTTGACAAATTGCCTTGAAGAGTGCAAACGCAATATTGTGATTTCTGAAGTCAGTAAGTACAATAACAGTAACTGTATTGTTGAGTTCATCTTACTTTTGCAACTTGCGTGGGTTAAGTTCTAAATAACATGCGGTACGAGTGCTCGTAGCTTCCGATCTCACGGTCAGTGAAATAATTCGTTATATCTAAAATAAGAGGCGTTTTGTTAATTTCAGATTTATCCCAGTTGCACAATTATTCCGTGGAAATCAGGGATACATTGTTGAAGCGGGCTGGATGAATGTCGGATATCCATTCAGCCATGCATTCTTGGAATTCATTATTTCCTCGTGGACCTTTTAAAGTTTCACACAATTATGACATCTTGAATTCGGCCATTGTTTTTGTATGCTGGGGATTGCAAATAATTTTCTATGGTGTTTGCGGCTTCAGTAAAACGTTTTAGAAATATATCTTTGGTTGTTGAAGCATCACAACCAATAATATTTATTTTCAGCTAACGTTCTTGGTTTATCTAACGAATTAATTCGAGATCGACCAAATAAAACCTTGAATTACTCAACTTGACTGTGGACCTGTGGTATCATAAATTGCAGTATGTACTTTGGCTTAGAGTAAGAGATTTTTACGTTAAAAGCAGGTTAGTATTTGTACTACAGTACTTATATGGTAAGTATTCGTCCTTACAGATGTACATGTTGGTACGCCTTAGTACGAACATGCCACATTTAACATTTTTCCACGAAATATTTGCACTATAAAATTAGAGGCTTGAAGAATACGATTTGTAATTCCTTGTCTCCTCCTTTGCGTGGGAATTGGGCGATTACAGATGGTGGGATCGCATGGTTGCTGGCCCGACCGGTCGGTGAAGACGAGATCGCCTTACAGAGGACATTCATCCAAATTTACATTTTATCTGACAAGTAAGTTTGGTATGTTTCCACGCTGGACTTCTATGCTAGCCCGCTGGCATACGTAGATACTCCGTCGCGAGTGCCTCGCTAATATCCTGCCATAGAAGTATCGTCTCGACGTCTACCAATTTCCGTGATAAGGGGAATGGTTTCCTGTCCGAATGGTACAAGCGTTTCGAAGCCCAGGGGACAGTACAGGTAGTCATGGCACTTGTGAGTGGTATTCCGGAAAGCTGCTTCAAAAGAGGTCCAAATACAACACTTCTGTGTATTGCTTTTTTCTTTTCCCTGATTCTGCTTCCGCCAAATGTGCATACTTATTGTATCATTTCCCTGATTCTGCTTCCGCCAAATGTGCATACTTATTGTATCATGTAGTCGCAAACTCACTACCAGTACATTTGCAAGTCATGAGTGTGATCTGTTGCCTATCTGCTTAGTTTGATCACAGTGTTCCATAGGAGAATTATAAACTTACTTACTGGCAATAGTTCTACGATGGCATACCATTACTTGCAGGTTGATGAGTTTGCCATGGTTCTTCGACAACGGACAACTGGCCGGACCCTGGGCAGCAGCCAAAAATCCCTAAAAATTGGCGTGATTTAAAGGCTCGTACACGTGCATGAGGGAGCAGGTTACGTGAGGCCAGTCTTTAATCGGCCTGGTATGAGTAAAGTTATACGTACACAATATTTTTATTTCGATAAAAAAGTAGTGTAATTAACGTTACCACTTTTCTGTTTTAGTTTTCTGCTTCTGGCAGTTTAGCGACTGCTCAGCGAAAACGCAACAAAATGATTCCCGTCTAACATTTGTTCTTTGTTTATAGTATAGAGCAGTATCGGCCACTAGACTAAATATTCATGCGCTGCTCAGCCTGTCAGTAATATCCAACTGTTTGGCTGCCTCAAGCATCGCAATGGAGGAGTATTCAGAATTTTCTGAGGAAAGAATTTCCTTCGACATTCCACAGAGGAGCCATTCCGTTCCGCCGACAAATTTCTCGGTTGTAACATGTAAGAAACACCCTTTTTTGTGACGATGGTGACTTATAACTGGCTTTTTGTATGCAGATTCCGGTAGTTTGGATGCGTTTGCTAATGTTCAAGAGCCATTTGCTCGCGATGTTGCAGCGGAGTGCTTCAACTGGCGACGGTATGTGATTTTTTGCATAACGCAACGTAGAAACTTAATTTCAACGTGTTATCCAATGGTGTATGTATAAATCAAATATAAAATGGAAACTTGCTGCAGATCGTATGGGAAAGTTAAAGATGTCTACTGTCACGTGCAGTTCCAAAAATTCACGGAGCTTCCTACAGATTTATCAAGCGATCCCTCAGCTACGCTTTTAGGCCCAGTTCTGCATTCCTTTTGGTGTGATGCCCAGGTGAGAATTATCAGATAGGATATTTGCTTGCATACTGTTTCTTAATTGGGCGGTAGAATCCTTTGCGGCTAGATTGATGTTAATATTATGCTTTCTGATAATTATAAAATGTTTTGAAAATCTTGATTTTATAATTATTACACCTGTAACTTATGCTTTAATACGCAATATCGTTGAGAATTTTCCTTTCAGGTTGCAAATTGGTATCAAAATTTTTTCTTTGGAGAAGTTTTTTTTTGTAGTAATCATTACAAGAACAAAAAGCATGATGTAGACAGACTACGTTTTGTAGTAATTATTACTGACTAATGATTTTGATATATTTTCATGTTTGAGTATACTCTACTATACAGTCTTGTTTACCACATTCCTCACGCGCCACTGCGCCCTTGGAAAATCCAAACAGATCTCAAAATTTGAGATGTATTATTGGCAGCCTGTTGATAAGTTTCACAATAATGCACCAAAACAGACTGTGCAAGCTGCTTTGCAGTTCGTTGATTATCCGCGACCGAGCGTAAGAGATCAATTGACAGCGTGGCTGGAACAGTTGGAATCTAAAGGTGTTCACGATTGGATCATCGTAGTCCTTGTTAAGCCGGATTCCAAAAAGTCACCTCGTTCCAAGCCGACTCCCCGTTTTGATATTTACGATAAATTGAATTCGGAATTTTGTTCCAAAATGAAAGACCGCGGACGGTGAGCTGCATGGAATTTTTTCGGAAAAGTGAACTTTGATAAAATTATTATTCCACCGAGTGCAGATGTGTTTACATTTGGGATCCTCGAAGTGGAATGGGCGACGCAGAAGTTTGGCACAATGCTGTAGTAAAATTCCGTCACCTGATCTTTGAGGCTTACGATGCAAAGCTGAGAGCGTATGAAGAACAAGTCCGTATTGCCAGGAAGATCGAGGCAAGC